AAAAAGAAAACAAACAACAAAACCAAACAAAACAAAGACAAAACCCAGAAAAAAATACAAAAACAAATCAAAACCATTTTCCTTTCATTGACCAAACTACATACTGAGATATACTCAGCTAATATACTGAGTGCCTTCCATTATGAAATTACCTTTCATTAACGTACTTGGCCTTAGGATAGTAAGAAATGAAATACTGTTCCCATTCTGTAGCTGGAGTTGAAAGCCCTTGTTTCAGACAGTACAGGTACTGAACAGACAAGGTTCAGAAACAGAAATTTACCCAATTCACTGCAAAAACCAACTTCACAGATGACAGCAGAGACCATCAGCAACATCACTACCAGAGTCAGCTCTCCATCCTATCTCGGATAAACATTTGCCCTGATTATTTGGCAATGCTTACGTCTCCCAACATGGGAACATGATACTTGTATACTGTATTTCATTCTTTATTGCAGAGTTTCTGTACTAAGTTTGCAAGTTTAGTTAAGGCCTTACATTTGCTCCACATTGTAGTTAACCTGAGCATGAGAAGCTGAACAAAAGTCTATGTTCCTAGCAACTTCTTTATACCCAAAATCAAATACTACTCTGTCTTTGCATAAAGTTCCCATCAGCATCAAGTGTAACATGGTACACATGCCATGCCTGAGAGATACTTTCAGACAAAAGCAGGCAGCACCAATTCCTGACTATAGTGAAAATTTTTTATTCAGGTTTGCTTGTTACTATCAGTACAACTAAGCCTATAACACTGAGATAGCACAAGTCACTGTGACAGGTAAAAGAAGAAAGGTAGAAGAGGCCGTGGTCTCTGAGCAATCTCCATGCCTCCCCTGTGCTCCTAACTACCAACTAGACAGAGCACAGTGCAGAAACTCAGCAAACCCAGTCATCTGATTGCCTCTCACTGGCCAGGCAAGTGCAGTTATCTCCTTGTTTATCCTTGCTTTATTAGATGGGCACAATAATGCCCTCCCTTTGTAAAATACTTTTAAATTCACAATCGAAAGTTCTATACAATCTGGTGTGAATTCAGTTGGTTTGCTGGTTTTGGTTGGTTGTTTTTTATGGTTTGAGTTTTTTGTTTGGTATTTTTTTGTTGTTGGGTTTTTTTTGTTTGTTTTTTTTTGTGATGGTGGTGGTGTTTTTTTTAAATATTGAGGGCTCCTCTATCTGCAATAACATTATTAAGAACTTATTACACATACAACACCCAAACTGAGAAAAAAAACATATGCACATATTCTCTGAAATCAGTTTGTATGTATCCACAGAAGGCTGGATACAGCAAATATTCAAACATTCTCTCTAACTTCAGTTTCAAGACACAGAAGTAGGAAAGTTCTTGGTAACTTCAGAGAGAAATGAAGCATTGGGCTTGGGAACAGCTACAGCACATCACTGGGAGGCCCAGCACGGCACAGCTAGCTTTCACAAAGGGAACATCACAAGCACACGGCCACCATGCTGTGAAGTTGGAGGCCAAACAAACAATCTGAAATCCCTCAGCCCTCATAATACTGGTGAGTTATCAGCAAGTCCAGCAAACAGATTGTTAATTTAGTTACTTAAAAGGAAGCAGCTGAATCCTAAAGTTTGCCTGTGCCTGATTTAGACATGCCAACACTTAGGACATCCTCCTCCTCCTAACTCACATAATTTTTAATATGTGATTGTTCCTTGCTCAAGAGCCACAGGTTCTCTTTATGATGCCCATTAAAATGACAATGTAGTACACTGACTATGTTTCAGTTAGGAAGGGGCTAGATAATAATTTGCAGGGCTCTCTAAAGTCCAAACAACTGTTCTCATTTCACACATCACCAGTTCTTTAGAAGCAGCAGAAAGTCCTGGAAATAAAATGGCAATACTTATTAAACTGGCTCTGTCTCATAGCCATTAAATGTCTCTTATGCCCTAGCATGAAAACAACCCTTATGAATGACCAGCTTAGAAGAGTGGAATAAGCAGTTCTGACCAGCTATAAGATACTGCTTTTTAACTCCTGAACTGCTCTTTACATTACAGCCAAAAGGGAGTTCACAGTTTGCAAATTCACATCATTCCTGCTTGCCCATGGACACTATAATCTGACTAGGACTTCCAGCAAGATCCATCTTGTTACATGGAACAGCCTAACGTGTAACAGGTCACTCACAAACACAAAGTAAGTGTAATTCATGTGATGCCACAGCAACAAACTGTTCAGCAGCACCTGGGGTTGAACCAGGCTCTTGAGCTTCCTTGAAGCTTCAGAATCACAGCAAAGTCAGTGGGATCCCTTGTGAGGGCTGAGTCCTCCGGACTAACACACCTGCAGTGACCAGCCCTATCAGAAACAAAAGGGAGCTGGAACAAAGCATTCTACAATACAGATTGTGCACAAAGGACCACAGTTCCAGCACTCATTACACAGTAGTGCAGCAAATAAACACCAGAAACTCTTTTTTCCCTTCCATTGCTGTAATGTTTACAGCCCCTTCATACTTTTTATTTAGAAAACAGAGCTACAATCCTTGTAAGCTAATGTTTACACAATTTTTCTTTCAGAGCCACATGTCTTCTCTCCCACATTTGGTTTGGTTTTTTTCCCCACTAGCATTTAGAGAGAAAATAACTCCTTAGAAATATTTATCTTAATTCTCTTTAATTTGCCAGATAGCTTCTTGCAGTTCTGGAGACTTATGAGTGGAAGTGTAGATACTTCACTGACTTACAGGCACAGCAGTTTTTTCTAAGTTGAAGCATCACTAATTTTTTAAAGAATCATGGGAAAGTATCCCTCAAATTTAATTTATTTTCCCCTTAGCCAAAGGGTTTAATACATTGGAATAAAGTAAGTGGGAAGCAAAACACTGAAAAGAAACTTTTTCATGATTCAAAATAGAGTATTTGAAGTTCAGAAAAGCCTACTCTGACATTGTCTTCCCTTTTTCTTCCTCACCTATTGTCAGGGATCAAATATTAAAACAGCACCTTAAGCAAAGCTCGGGAAGGTCCCTGAAATTTTTTTTTTATCTTGGTTAAAACTAGTATTTGCAAAAGGTTCAGTGTCCCACCATGATAGCCTGGAGCAAGGCTAGAGAAGGAGAGAGCACTGCAGCTCCTGCAAAGAAAAGGAGCACCAGGATAAAAGCACCTGGTGATTTCAATCACCAGATTGTCCCCCTTTTCCTTCCTCCCCTCACGTTGCAAAAAAAAAAAAAAAAAAAAAGAAAAAAAATTCTATGTGATTTAGGTAAGACAGAGGCTCTATTAGATTGTAATACAGAATTACAGTTTATAATATAATAAACAGTTGGTTTGCCATTGATACAGCTCTCATGAATACACATCACCCGGTACAGGTCAGCAGCACAGTGAAAAACCCCAGGGGTAGGAGTGGGTATCAGCACAGCACCTCCCTACAGCACACCTGTGTTATTTTATTGGGTTAATTCTCTGAGAGCCAGTGGCCACCTGGACTTGCACATCTGAAGCATAGGTGGGAAGAGAAACAAGGAAAGGTAATGTGTAGCACCAGACTCTGAGCACAGCTTCTGTCTATTCAAATAAGCCACCAGTGTACCTCTAACAGAGACCAAGTGCTCTACCACTACCTCCTCCAGTACACTGAGAAACTTTAAAAATGTCATCTGTTTTGCCTGTGGAACCCACAGGTTTTGTGTTAATTTTGCAGTAGAACTCAGTGCAGCAGTTAAAAATTGATCCACATGTATTAGCCACTGGGGCTAAGGCGAGCAGGCAGAAGAGATATCCACAGTTGAAGAGTCACACATTTCAGTCAGCGGGGGTTACCTTGTTTTCTACCTTGACTCCTGAATCACACAGCCAAAAACATCACTTCTAATGAATTCCTCCTTAAAAGCATGACTTTTGCTTGAGCAATAGCCTGCATCCTTGAAATAGCCAGTCTTGTTTTCTAAGTATCAAAAAAATGATAGAACTCCACTCAACCAGATCATGTTTTACCTGGGAGTAAGTTTTGTTCACAAGGCTCTTTTTCCAACCTTCAAATGTCATTCTTAAACTTTAGCTATATCACTTCTCAAATATTAGAAAATAACTATGATCATAAATCTTTCCCAGCTAGATGATAGTAGCAGGCTTCATCTTACTTAGCTTTAAGTGTCTAACGGGCAGTTATCTAAATGCAAGTTAGCTTTGTGTGCTCTCTTCTGCATCAATAATAATAGAAAAGGTCCTTTTGGGGGAGATTCATCTGTTATCTTCAGACAGCATGAACTCTCTGAACAAGCCAACTTCAAACCTTTTACCAGAAGGAAGCCTGGATGACCAGCTTAACTTGAAACAGCAAATTATTAGATACCTAAAAAGCAGAGTGGAAAGGATCCTACCCCTGTTTACAATGCTCAGAACACTCTCAACGTTTTTTCTGGATTAACTAATTTTAGTTCCTTTAGTATCCCAATAAAAGAGTTTTCCTCTCTGAAAAAAATATTCTTTTATCTCATCTCTAATGCTCTGTGCTAGGAGACAACCTTTTATATGTCCCAGAAGCAGACCTGGCTTTTTGGCTCAAGAAACATGCTGGGCACTAATATATCTAAGGCATGATGGATGCCTTGTTCTTGTCTACAGGGCTCTGATGTACAGTCAAAATTTTAGCATGTTACATCCAAACTGACCAAAACTGCAGCAATGAAGCTTTCATACATAGCTGTTAATAGCTCAGGTATTAAGAATCAGTACCACTGGTCATTGATACAGTCAACTCCTTAATCCTTACCCAAAGACCTATTAGATATCTAAACTAAAAAGCTGTACAGGAGGAGAAGGACCATAGCTTTAATCCACCAGGATTAAATCCCAGGCAAATCCACTGGGACATGTGGTAAAGTGGCCCTAGGGTATAAGAAAACTCAGTCTCTTCAGCTGTAGTTGGTCTTAGTATTGCAGCTGACTGTTTTTCAGCAATTAATCTCAAAAAGGACAGTGCTCCTTCATACCTTACCATTTATGGTTACAGAAAACTTCGTAATAGGGGAACTAAGAAGAGTTCAGCCACAGCAAAGCAAACCCAGAGAAGTACAAGAAAGATTAAAAAAAAACCCCAACAACAAACCCTTTCATCTAAGTTCTACTACTATCCCACATCTGTCATGTAACAGAAGTTTTTTTCATCAGAGAAAGAAGCATTTCATCAAAAACAGTAAGTATATTTCTAAATAACTGTTTTTCCTTGGGAGCATGCAATAGCTTTCGGTTTGGAAAAGTACAGCGTTTTTGGAAGCAACAATCTTTCTAAATCTGCAACACTATGTGGGACAGCCCGGATAGCCCAACGTGCTTTAGAAAAGTCAAGCTGTTCTCTCTTTTGTAACTGGATGCAATCTGGTAATTCTCCACAATTATTAGCAAAAATAACAGTAATATTTTTACAAATTATGAGTCTGCAGCTCATATGAGATCATAGCTTTTATTAATTTTAATAGTAATTACACCTTTAATCTTTGGAGTTTTGTGGCTTTGGGTGTTCAGCATTCCTTTAGAGGCTGTGCTTGTCTACCTCTAATAAAGTTAGAGAGAAACCAGGCCCTTGAACTCTTTCAGGCTTCCCTGAAATCTACTCTTAAATTGATTCACTCTGTGCAGCTCAGTACTGCACAGAATCCAAAAGAAGCGCTCCGAAAAAATTTCAGAGCTGATGAACTGAGCAAGTAGCTTTTTTCTAAGAATTCGTAGGTTTCATAGCTAACAGATTTAAACAACAGCACAGGTTTTTTTTAAAAAAAAAACCTATCTTGTTTAATTCACTCTAGTGCTACATCAGGTAAACAGTTCATTATTAAAGCAAAATGATACATCATATTTCATAAAATCAATGCAGTGCTATTATGTTCCACAGTCAAAATACTGATGTTTCAGGTTTTCAAGAGAGCTGCACGAGTACATGGCACAATCATCTTTTCCATGCACATTTCCATCAAGGTTCAGCATTGCCTTATTCTGTAACACACACAGTATTGGTGGTCCCAGATGCACAGAATGCTTTAAGTAATGCATTCTTATCCATTTGCAATGAACAAAACCAGTGTTCCTTGGCCCCAGCACCCTTGGCAATGGCAGACCCGTTACCAGCAAGAAAAGCACATAAATGTTACGAGTAGGAAAGCGAGGGTGGGGACAGGGGAAGAAAATGCCAACACAAATGCCGTTTTGACCTCACGCCTATTGTTTGGGGTGTAAGCAGTGGGGCAGTAAATGAGAAAAGGATGAGGGCAGGATTGAAACAGGAAGGATGAAGAGTCTAAGCAGTGTTAAAATACTCATGGAAACAGACAAGTGTGAGCGATCAAACTAACTGTACTCAGAGACAGTAGTAAATATGTAAGCTGTGCAGCTCTGCCACAGTAGCATAACCAATACAGAACACATATTTATAGATCCAAACCTTACAATTGTTTTCTGGTTCCCACACAAAGTACCTGGCCAATAAACTGGCAATGAATGTGATACTCCTCTTACACACCCAGCAAAACCAGCAATTTTTATGTTGTCCACACAAGGTGTTTTGAAACCAAAACAAGATGACTATTAAGTTGGCACTTGATAGGAAAAAGCAAATGGCTGTTTTGTATGCAGAGGCACTAGAGGCCAAAGGGTCCAGGCCTGCTTAAAAACTCTGCATTGCTTTTGAGATGCAGATGACTTGCATCGCTCTTCTTGGTGTGATGTAGTATTAGCACTTGATGTTCATCTGAAAGTAATATATAAACACTCACTTGAAAGTCACCATATGGTGTAGGATAAACCAGCTCAAAAAAAAAAAAAAAACAAAAACAAACTAGCTCACTGTTAATATTTATTCCCAACTAAAATTTGAGAGAAGCACTCTTTCTTCTGCAAGCAAGCGAGATGAATTCATCAGTGCTACCAACACTGCCATACCCAGGTTAAGAGCAGCCTGAAATAGCAAGAGAGAGGGGTGCTATCCAAACTCATGGAGGTCACAGCACTGGAAACTCCTCATGAGACAGAGGAGGAGGCAGAGATTTCCCACCAAGTATCAAACTTGTCTACTAATGAAAACAGGGGACTCTATTCCAAACCTGAGCAGATGGCACCCCTAGGTTTAGCACCAGCAGCTGTCAGTGCAGCGATTATACACTGAAATTGCACAACTAACATACTGTATAATTTAACTAGACTGAAGATGATTAGGGGGAGAGAACATTATTAAAAGATTTGGAGCTTATATTTTCTTAATAATTACAGAGGTGCCTCACAATCTTTAGTGCAAAGGATAGATCTACATTTGCTCTTGAAAACTGGACTAAAACCCATGTTGTACACTTCAACATCTTCCAGTTCAAATATGCGCAGAGACATCCTGGGCCAATCAAGTCCTCCACAGTGCATAATTTTTCAAAGATTTAATGATTTTTGTCAAAGGAAACACTTAATTAGGTCTTTCAACATCCCTCCTAATATACATTGACAGATCAAGTAGACAAAAAAGAAGAATTTTTAATCTGAAAGAAATGAACCTTTTAAGCAATGGGGAAATTCCAAATAAAATGTTTTTCTATATGTATGCAGCATTGCTTTGCTTTGAGAGCCAGAAAATGCAGGACTTTCAGCACAAGAACTTAATAATAATGAAAAGAAAAAGAAAAAAACACACATGGGGTTTCCTCCACTGACTTAGATTTCCTCTTATTCTGCATATGCATGAAATAATGTTACAGATTTTTCTGGTCTTTTAAATTTTAAAGTGTAAAAAAATGCAGCAGGAAGTATGTATTTCAGTTTTAGGGACGACATTTACAGCTAATCTGATGCAGTAACACAGCACTGACATGAGCACCTTTGATTTACACTGCCTGAAGACCTAGCCAGTTATTTTTTATGTTTATAGAAGCACCCTGAAATATTTTTAGATTTATCTTTGTTGCTAACATTCTCTGCATAATTTATGCGTTCTTATTCATTTTGGGGCGGAGCAGACATCTGAAGTGGGGGAGCAGAGGCAAACAAGATCCCCTAGCAGCTCACAGAGAGAACCAGGCTCAGGCAGCACAGCTGGTGTCAGGATGAGGAACAACACTGCACATAACACTGGGAAAACCTCTTTGGCCACTGCCAAAGATTTCCAGTTTATACATACAACTTCCTTATGCATTATAAAAAAGCAGTCTGGCAGTTTAAGGTGATTAGGAAGGATGAGCTTACTGGTATTTCTGCTGAGTATGTGGCCAATATTCAAGCAGACTGATGGGACAATTACATTTCTTATTAATTCTTTGGTTAATGGTTCCACAGTTCTTGTTTTCCATGTAACAAGGAGTCTGATTACCCCCCTATTTCTCAGTGTAGCTGGGACAGCTCTGTAAACGTTATGGTTCATCTAAAATTCAAGACATTAACAGCATTAGGCCACTAGAAGTTTTCCACAAGTCATGGTGGCAGTACCAATCTTTCACTTTTTCATTTTCCCTCAGCACAAATTGAACATTAATCATTGTTGCTGTATATAAGAATTACTCACTAACAACACAAGTTTTCACTTTGTTTCGGCATGTCCATAACATTCTCCCTTTCTCTCTTCTGCTCTGCTTTCCCCCCTTCTCCCCCCCAAAAAAACAACACACAGAAGTCTTGCCAGTCTTGTCATTTGCCGTAACTATGGCTTGCACCATATTTTCATGTAAAAGCAAAACTCGCCAAACCTTCAGTTACAGCTGTCAGATACTGGTCATGGGTTGAACTCTCAGTGACTCTTACAGGCTCATTTATAGATGAGTCCTATACATCAGTCATAATGATTTAATAGCACATGGTTTCATTGCAATTATTTTCAGATTCTCTTTATCAAAGCATTAGCAAGGTAATTTCAAATGCTACTTGGCAAGGGAGTGGGGGGAAAATAGTCCGGACATCTCTGCCCGAGTTCCCCGGTGTGACACCCACACACCACCCTTTGCGCTTTCGCTAGTGCCTGTGGTCCTGTCCCCACGCATGTGCTGAAACGCAGTTTTAACTGCTGTGTTTTCTAATCCTGTTCCGCTGTGCTTGGTAGCATCATACTACTCCTGCCTAGAAAACAGAGCTTGTCTCCATCATTTGCTCGGACATCAAGTTTTGAGCACCCTGGAATGGACAAGGCCAAACAACAAACACGCAGAAGTCAGAACTGGGCATCTCAAATGCTGAATTTTAAATCATTGCAGCTCTTTTGAAATAAGACAGCCGTATTTCAGACTAATCCAGAAAAAGCATAATGTAAAAAGGGTTCTACTGTGGGAAGATTTTCCTTTCATGCAGCCTTTACCAGTACACAACACAGTATCTCTTGCTTCAGAGAAGCAGCAATATAAAATAGCCCAAATTAAGGCTGAGGACAATTGGGGTGTTAATAGAACTCTTCCAAAAATTAATCAGGTTTTCCTACCCCATCTCCTAGCCTACAAACACACACATACACTTTTTGAAGTGCTATATGGTTAATATGAAAGTAAAAAAAGGAGTCTACTGATAACAAAAAACAGTAATTTTTTTCTAAACTCTCATTTTTGCAAAAATGGGACTGTTCCTCCACAGGATACATAGTATTTCATAAACTTGTTACACAACTGTGATATCTGTAGCCAATCCTAGTCATGCTTTTCCTCTCTTTTCTGTATTTTACTTTATACCAGAAAGAGATTGCTCAGATTTCACAACTGCAAATCATGTTGGGAAAAAAGCCGGTGACTGCACAGAAGCGAGGGGAGACAAGAGCCCTGTGCCTGGGACTGGGAATGGTTGCATGCTCCATGATGATGTACTTTTTTATTGGGATCACCATTGTGCCATTCTACACTAAAAGGTAGTAACAGCCACTTGCTTATGAATATAAAGTATTTCTTTCTCCTGTCAAATACCATTATTAAAAGTGCCAAAATATACTTTAGTACATAGTACAATAAATAAACAATATGTTCTCAGAGAGCTCATAAGAATTTAAGACAGAAGAGAGAAAAAAAGTGAGCCAGAAAGTCATCAGGCACTTAAAGATAAGCAACAGAGAGGGGAAATGATCATCTTCAGAGCTAGAATGAGAACAGACTAAAACAAAACATTTGTTATGAAAACATGCAAAATAAAAGCAACCATGCATAGCAAAGCTTGATAATGAGAAAGCTAAGTCTTGCATAAATGCGGGGATGGGTGGGAAGCTTTTCTATGTACGGGAGGGCATGTTGTTTCTAATAAAATTATAAAAACGTGAGCAACATAAGTCGTGGTAAAATTGTTCAGTTGAGAATCTGTATCTTACTTCCAAATCAACCATGATGGGAAACTATCAACTTCAACAGCCCAGTCCACCACAGCAAATGTTGCAGGATACAATAAATGCTGAAGTAGTTACTATTGCTCACATTTTTATTTCATTTTGCAAGTTCTGCCTCCACACACAAAATCAATTGGCAATAAACCAAAGTAACAAAGCAAAAAGTACAGCTCAGTTTTTCATGCTTGAAGACTTTGACAGAGAAAGCAAGTACATCCACCTCATTCTTCTTGATAAGAGTACCTTTAAGCTCAGAAATGTTTGACATTCTTTAAAACAGTAATGCACATTTTATTTATTTTCCAGCCTCCTGATTACAAGACATTTGTATATAAAAAGATTAGTTTCTTAAGAACTGGAGTGAGACTATTTCTTTACTTTTTTGCCACCAAAGCATACCGCTGTAAGCAAAAATCTTACTGTGTTATATCAGTAATAAAAGAGTAACTCTTGAGAAAAAGGGTAAGTAACAACAAAAAATGTACATCTGCCAGGTAAAATCCTGCTACTTACTCATACAAAAGGTCCTTCTAATAAAGAAAAGGAGAAGGGAGAGTTCTGAGAATTATTGAATTACTTAAAATATTTCTGAGACATCAAGTGTACTGCAATTCCAAATATGTACTACCAAAGATTCAAGTCCATAGCAATTTTTCTTTCTTAACACTTGAGGCTGATTACAGGTAGGGTTAGAATCTAACTTCAAACCACAGAATGTGTAACAAACAACTGCAAAAGCCAGTGTTTTCCTGCAGTGCTTTCCCACGGCAGCCCTTCTCCAGGCGCAGCCATGGATGGAGGGTGGGTGGGTGAAGCTCAGGGCAGCAGGGCTGAGCAGCGTGGACTGCAGCCACCCCATGGCTTACGCCTGGCACACCCAGAGGCAGCTCCGGCACCACTCGGAACAGATGCTGCCAGCACATCTAAAAGCAATACCTCTTGTTTTGTTTTTATAGTGTCTGGACAACAGAAACAGTGTGCAAGGTACTCAAAGCCAACATCAAGGACAAAGTTCTCTCCCCAAACAGCGGAGGCTCCGAGGAGGAGGATATCTTTCCTTACCCATGTCTACAGGTGTGGGTTAATCTGACAGCCTCAGGGCAAGAGGTTATGCTGTATCAGACTGAAGATACACTGGAGAAAAATCCTAAGGTACTTGCAACACAGGTTGACTAATCACTCCCTGCTGCTATCTAACACCTTTGAGAAGAAGGGGTGATTGTTTTTAAACCAAGCAGCAGAGTAAGAGTTGTTTATCTTTTACATGTTAATGTCTGTGCATAGACCAAGGCATTTTTAAAATATCCTGGAAACTACACAGGTTTGGATTTTGTTTTAAACATTACATAAAACGTTAATACTTGTTAAGGAACTACACCAACAAAACATGAACATTTAAAAGTACGTAAGTCTCTGAGTTGAAGACCAATGATAAGAAAGTTTATAAGTTGTGGTTCACTCAGTTGCTTGTTGAATTATCGTAGGAGAGACCTGAAGTTAAAAACTGTCCAAAGAGCACAAATCCCAATTTTACTTTCATTTTAGGTGTGCAATATGAAACAGGGAATAAAGAAAGCAGAGAAAGGGGAAATGAGGATGTTGTTGGGAACATGATGCATGTTTTAGACCGAAAGGAAAAAACAATCAGTAATTTTGGAAAATGATCACCTCATTTGTCCTTGGTTTGGTCTGCACCGCTTCTGGCCAGCATGGTAGCAGAAACCTGGACTCATGAAGGAGGCAGTGGCACTGTAGGAAACACCTGTGTAAAGCAGAGACACTGGGTATTGTGGTAGAGGTCCCTTGGTCAGTTGTTTTAGAGATGTCTTCCCCAGAGGATGGGTGCAGACCATGGGTGGGACAGAAATGTAGGCGCACAGTATTCATTTGGCTTTAGAGGTATGTGAAAGATTAGGGAAGGGGAAAAAGTAGGGTGCTATCCTTTTGTTCCTGCCTGTGTTTCTGCTTGGGAATCAGCAAAGAGCTCAGCATTTTGGTCCCCCACCACCATAGGTGCTCCTATTGGTACACTGTGCCCAGGAAGGTCAGGTTCAGTTCCATTCCAAAACCATGAGTATTTCAGAGGCCTTGTTCCAGCTCAACACTCCCTGAGGGGACAAAGTGAAATTCAGATCATGGATCTGAATCCCAAGACTGAAGCACTTTCAGAATCCAAAACAAGACATGCTCAGACTACAAGTGTTCATCTTCTTAAAGAAATTGTATAGATTAGAGTTGCACACAGTGCAAACCTGATAGCATGAAACAACTAAGCTGAACAGAATTTTGCTGGTTAGTGCCTATATTTTTAGTGACTCAGGGAAAGCTACACACAATGATGTGGCAAGGCAGAAATTATCCACTGTGGATTGAAACAAGATTCTTGTTCAGTGCAAGAAGCAGCGATTTATTGATTTCCAACCTACCGTTTGCATTACTGCAAGTACAAGCCTTCAGGTCAGGAACCATCCCCTTTTTGCCTTGGCCACTTTCCAGATTAGGACACCTAAGCACTATTATGTGCGCAAAATAGTATTGCAGTAAAGAAACCATTATGAATAACAACAACAAAAAAATGAATGCTTTGAAGTCTAATAGTATTTCCACTGAAAATCAAATAACTTTGCATTATTACTACGGGTCAAAATAAGTTCTGTGTTACGAAGACAAGTAGGAATCCTCTAACAGCCATGCTTTCCTCTTATTTTTCTAGTAGTTACAACCAGAGGTGCACAGTGAAGCAACTCTGCTTTCCTGTACGCTGACAAGCCAGTTGTGAATTTCTGCACAGCTAGCACATTTCTGCTGTGAGGGTGCCTAGAAGCTCTGTTAGGAATCTGAGCTTGGCACTATGATAATAAAGTGACAGTCTCAAAGACCAAAGTTTTATTTTGAGCACATAATTATTACTGGTTTCCAACATTACTCCAACCTCTAAATCTGCAGACTGGGGGCACAGACACACCAACAGAAACAGGGAAGCATGGCAAGTGGGTTAGGGACGTAAGGAAACCAAGACCATCTCCAGGGATGCTAGCCAAACCACAGAAGTTTTTGTCAGTACTAGCATGTTTGTTTTAATCTGATTTCACTACAAACCTTGTAGCAGAGTATTATAATGAATTATCTTGATTTCTTATTCCAGTGCTCATACGTCCCAGACAAGTTGGAGAACTCTAAAGAAGTTAAAGCACGAATAGAAACAATTTCAAGCAATTTTAAAAGATATCAGACTTTCCCATGCTACTATGACCCAGGAGGAACACAGGCCAATGTAATTTTAAGCAGACTTTATCCCCCGAAAGGCCTCCTCTTTGCTTTCCTTTGGCCTACACTCATGTTTACCGGTGGATGTCTGATTATTGTTCTGGTAAAAATTAGTCAGTATGTTTCTGTTCTTTCTGCTTGGCAGTAGAAAATCAGTATCTAGCATTGATTGTTGCAAGATATTAAAAGGCCTTTGTTTTTCTTGCCTTTATCTGCATTTTGTGCGTTTTAATACACCAGGTATCAGTCCAATGGCAGTCATTCTAGAAAACTGAATGGCACCCACTAACGTTTGCAATCCATTACATGAGTACAAAATAAAAAATTGATTCCCAAGAATGCCTGAAAATACCTTGTAAGAACACAAACTGAGTTACTGTCTATTGTTTCCTTGGGCTTTCTGAGGCACAGTTGCTTTACAGAGGTACAATTCAAGTTTAGTAGTAAACTCCTGTTCCACATTTTAGACAGGGTCCCAATTCTCTGGCTGAGACCAGTTGGTGCCAGATACATATACATCATGACTGGCAGACACAACCTTTATATACTTCATTACCAATACAGTATGTATTCATGGCATACTCTTCTCATCTGTTGAGAAAAGAAGTTTTGTTATGGTCCACAGAGATATTTTATATTATGGAGCACTCTGCTTTTGGGAAAGGGGAGGGGGAAAACCACCTGCAACTAAAATATACACACACAGATATTATGAAGTTTGCACTCTAAATATCTAACACCAACTGTATATAATGAAATATATGCCTCAAGTATAAGGTAAAGAAGCTTACTTCTAATTGAAGTTTTTGTATTTAACTCAAATCTTTGCCTTGCTTTATTTTGCAACAAGTCTACCACTGAAGGAAAGCTACCTGCCTTCTGTTTGTATATTTTATAAAATGGCTAAGGAAGTTACAACATACAGAATATGACTATGTAGTAGAAAATATCCATGATGTCCTACTAAATACAGTAGTCTAATGTAGCCACAGAAGTTTGCATGTTTAGCACAAAGGTATTTCACAACAGACACGTTTGTTTCTGGGACCAAGAGCCTTAGAAATGCTCTGATGCACGTATAGACACATTTTCTGTTCTCTGAAAATAATTCTCTCAGCCAATTTTCAAACTGCTACTGGACACAAGAGGAACACAAGATACTTCCTGCATGCTGTAGTTGACTGGCATTTGGAACGTAACTAGTACAAGCTTGTTCATCGCACAGCTGATGAACCACTTAGCAGCTGTCATTCACAGGAAAATTTCAGGGCTTAGATACAAATTTAAATTCATTAAACTGTAGTGGAAAAAAGTTATTCTCATGGTGGTACAACTCTATTTTTTATTTTAAGGAAGAGGAAGGCTGAGCTATGAACCCATTACATGCATTTTACATTACTAATGGGACAGGGTTAGAGTTTGCTTTTCGTCACAATCAGCAAATCAAAATTACACAAGGATAGTACAAAATAGCAGTTATTAACATCAGCAACACTCGTTCAAAATGCAGAATCTAGATGGTTATTTATTAGACATCTACAAGACAAAAAACATTCTGCTCTAGTGTTTAAGAGTGAGACAGTGTAAGGAGGAAAATTATTTCCACAAAAGGGAGGAAAGTAGTTACATCTTCAGTCCAACACTTCCATGAAGCGCATCTGAAACTGTGTGTATAGATGATTCCAATCTTTCTCATTCAGGAAAGCGAAAGTGCAGCTGGCACAGGTACAGGTAATTCTGGGTGACCAAAAGCATTTGCCAATGGAATGGGACGGGGAAGACATCCCTGTTTTTTAGTTCACCAAAAGCTGAGGCAGGGGTATGGTAACTGCTTAAAAATACAGCAGACAGGGAGGATACCTGTTGAAGCTACTGCACCATACTGGTACCAAAGGAGGTGAACAGCTAGCTGTAGACAGAGAGGTTTACTTAATAGGCTCTGTCAAAGCTTTACTCCAAATTTTGCTTTTCAGCAGTTTAAAAAGTTTCCAGTTTGCTAACTAGAACTTGCTCATGACTACTTCACTCTCAGTCTAGCAAATCAGTAGCCCTGCCACCTTGGCTCCAAGTCTCAGCTCGGAGGCAAACGAAGGTTGGATGATGCTGTTCCTTCTAGTAGCAGTCCCCACTGCCCCACTCATGACTCAGGAACTTGTCTCTGAAGAACAGCAGCTCTTGACCTTGCTGAGCTCAGAAATCGGTGATAGCAGCAGATGAAAATTTATTCAGAGCGTAAGCTGTGCCTCCAGATTTACCTCTACCAAAAATAAAGTGAATCAATTATTACATGAAAACAGTTATTTCCCTCCAGCATGTACACACTGAAAGTACATGAAGAAAAACATTACACAGATTTTGTTCTCCAATAAGGAATATCTCCTGCCCAAATAAGAAATATTATTAAGTAAAAACAGCCGGCGCAGGGGAAAAGCCACACACAAATTAGGAAACTCCGTTGTTTTGGACTCTGGTCAAACTCCGCTCCCCCTTTTGCCCAAAAGAAACAGAGGATTTGAATGCAAAGTGCCAAATATTCTAGTGGAGAAAAACACACAAAATGTATAGGCACCACAGAAGTCTGCTTTTGTTTTTAAATAATGCTCTTAAAGTCAAAACTATGTGTTTTAACAGCCAGGCTGCTGAATTACTCTTGAGATTTTGTAAACATTTTCATATTCTTTTTCCATCTCCAAAAGTTGTAATTCACTAAAGAGTGAAATTTTAATAACACTATGCTTCTTACAACAGCACACAAAGAGGCTATATAGCCTTTAGGGGGGTTTGGTTTGGTTTTTTTTTTTTAATATTATTGGATGATACCATCAAGTCAGCAATAAATTTGATAAATAAAATGCTATTTTTCTGAGATCCAGCAAAACACTTCCTATGAGAAGTTCTTCCAATACACACAGTGACCATTGCAGTGACAGATGTACACAACTCACTTTAAGGCTGACTAGGTGATCCAGGTAAATATTACAGCATTAAAACTCCCGCCAGGGGAAGAGAAGATGCAGTACAAGCACCTGGAGATGAAATTCATACTTGAAATCCATTTGACTACATATAGCTTTCACCAGCATTGCTGCTTAGACAAAAGTAATAGTTCTTGAGTTGACTAGAACATGTGAGGAACACAGGAAGAACAAGGATAGATTTTTAGACCCTGATGAATACTTCAGTTGTGCAGGCCCTTTATATGTTTATATGAATAATACTGTTTTGCTAAAACTATTCAAAGTCATATTTTTCAAGTGCTGGGCACAGAGTCTCAGAAGTACTTTTTCTTCTTGACGCCAAATAAGGCTTGGATGTGGTGATTCTACTGTTGCAAGATGGAAAAGAACAAAAGCTCCAGCACTATTCTTAAGGGAACTAGCATTTCTCCTAGCCAAAAAAAAAACCAAACAAACCAACCAACCAACCAAAACAAAACACCCAAACCAAAACAAACCAACACACCTCGATTGCAGAAGGCTGCAAAATTAAGCTTATCCCATAAATGGGAAGCTGTTTTGCTGTATAAGGTAGATTCACATTTTATCTGCTTTTAATAAGATCACCCTTCTCCAACTTTGACAAGATAGCAACTGTCACCTTAAGAGAAACCTACAGGGCACTGATTTGATAAGAAGCCACCTATGAGTCACCAGCATGTTCTTAATGTACATAAAAAATGCCAGGTACCTTCTGGCTACCTCTGACAATTTTGATTTTAAATATCCTACTAACTGGTGCTGGTTTTATTATCTGATCTTCAAAGCAGCAACAGGGCAGTTAACATAGACGAGACTCCAGTCCCCAAAGATTCCTTACTCATTGCATAAATCCGCTGCACTTGAAAACAAAATACCATCCCAGTGAGCAACTGGTACTTGGTTCTAAGTTTTAGGGTTTGGGGGGGTTTGGTTGGTTGGTTTTGTGTTTGTTTGTTTGTTTTTAGTAAGGAAATGAAGAAAAACTGAACAAAACAATTTGGGGTCTCTAGACTATTCACTATTCCAAAGCTATACAAAACAATTCAGATATTTCACTTTGGGCAATTTCAATAAGAGAAAATTAGCAGTTAGGGGTAACTGGATAAATCCAGATGTACAAGCTGGCCTGAAGTTACAAAATATTTTAATACAGGAAAAATAATTGTAAGTATTGATTGGAGGCAGTTATCCTTTGTTCACAATGAAAAGAGTTAGCTGGCACAGAGGGTGTAGGCCAGCCACACAGACCCCATGCAAGAAACAAGTCTGGTGTATAAGCACATAGTGGTCCTCCATCAGAAGGTGAAATGGGGAATTATCAGATGATCTGCGGAGTAAACTGCAGGGGTTTTTTTCCCTTTAAAGTATTTGTAAACAGTAAAAATGCTAAGAATGAACATTGGGAGGGGGGTGTGGAGGGGGTGGTTGTTGTTTAGTTCTTCTGCAGCAAGGTTTCTTTTACTATGCTGCTATAAGACTTAAGGGTCAGCTTTGATGAATTTAAGTTATATTGGGAGGTTACAAATATTAGATGTTTTCATCCTTGCTGACCCCAATTCTCCACAATCTCAAGATCATTAACAGAAAAGAAAGAGATCGGATAGAGGTGGCTATACTCAACTTTCATGTAAAATAGTCAGTGAAATACAGATTAAATAAAGTGTCTATTTATTATTATGCTCCACTAGAAGAAATAGCAATAAAAAAATCTTGTAAAAGTTGAAGGACTGACAAGCTGTTCTTTCAAAGCTTCCTAAAAATATCTACACAACTCTTAAATAAATATAAGTAGTCTCATTACACCCTGCACTTCTCTCCCTAGAAATGTCATATGACATTTGCACAGAAATTAAGCTGTCATATGGGTAAAAACAGTCACACACTGCCATACCCAAACCAACACAGGTATGTTTACTTTTCTCTTTGATCACATACCTCCATCTATAATAAATCCAAAAATCTGATGTTATTTTTGCTAGATATGCGTTACTCTAATTGCCTTATCTAGGCAAACCAACTTTTTAAAGAGGTACTTTCTATTTCTTACCTCTTATAATTCCAGGCAGACTTTTAGAAAGTCTCAGAATGCTAAACAAGTTATTCTGTATTCAGCACCAAGTGCAAGTAAGGAGAGCGCCTGAAAATACTTAACTTCAGCAAAAAGATAACACAAGATTAATATTACAGATGGAGGGCAGGGGAGAGAGTTGTGAGGCTCCATCTCTTCAGTAAAGTATTTTTACCCCACTTGGAACAAGACAACCTGAAGTAAATATAGGCTGTTTAGTCCAATCAATCCCAAGACCGTTCTTAAATAAACTCTTTGAATAGTCTTTAAATAATGCCATTCATATGCTTTCAAGTCAAATGAGACAGTACAGTGTATTAAAGAGGCGTCTCCAAAAAAAGCTCAAAGATAAAGGGTGAGCAAAAGAATCATGTTTGATGCACCTATTGGTTTATAGGTTGCTAAAGCACTGCATAATATTTTCTCTGCTGGAACATTTCAAAACATTGGACATGCTTATTTGCAAAGTAAATAAAGAAAGAAATCTTGACTTCTTTTTGGAGGCTGCTCTTGATAATCACGTGACCTCTATGTCAACAAGGCTGTCAGCCTCATCAGCCTAGAAGTGTAGGGCCAGGCTTTAAGCCCAGCCTACAGAAAATAATTACCACCTTCTGGCTCCTGAAATAGTTACAATGAACAAGTGCCTCCAATTAATCACTCTTATGATATATAGACTGACAGAAAGATGATGATTGGGCAGGCCTCAAAACTGACTTACCCTCTGATTTGTGGGGAGGAAATCCCCCAGCCATGGCTCAGTCTTGCATACCCAGAATTACATGAATCCTGTCCCTACTGCAGCCTATAAAATACACAGCTAAGATGAAACATATAAACAGTGTGAGCAAATAACCTACCTGGCCTGTCTAGAGTTTTGGCACCACAGTTTTTTGCCTTACTGCACTTTTTTTCAATAATATATTAATCGTGTTACATAGAAGTACTGCTGTGTGAGTGAACATTTGCTGCTTTTATTTAAACATACTGTTGGTTTTTCCTATGATCCTGAAGCCAGTGACATGAGTAGGGGAACCAACAAGCTTTTAGCCATACCTGTTATTGGCTGGAAAACCAGGGAGTTACAACTGCAGCATCTAGATGTCTGGATAACCAAGGGAGACAGACTCCTAAAGGTGTAGGAATTGAGATGATTCACTGCTGACACAGAGATCATCAGCAACTGCTGATCAAGATTCCTCTTTCTCCTTATCACATCAAAATTTTTGCCTTTGACTTGATATGAAAGAATAGCTAGCCCTTTAAAGGA